AAAAGTTCTGCATGAAAAGTTATCTGCCTTTCAAAAAGGCAGGTGCAGGTTGTTCAACAGAAAAACGTTTCAACCTTTATTTTACAAAAATAAAGATTTAGTGCATCAGCTAGACAGTAATAACTACAAAAAAACTCAATATTTTGGCATGTTTAAACAGAAATCATGACGTTGTGATTTAGTCATTTTGTGCTCAGTAACATATATCCTAAACTTGGCGTTGAGTTGACTGATGGATCATTAGAGGCATTTGGCTGCATTTACCTCGGTATTTAGTGATACATCAGCCATATCAACACCATCTCCACCCTCCATCTGCTACTCACAGATCCTCTGATGGACCTGCTGATCAATCCTGCTGGAGCTCTCTCTTCACTGCTCACAGCTTCGCTTGTATCTATGTTTCAATTATCCATGTTTCTGTGGTACATCTTGATAAATTTACTCATCACTTTTTTGTAACTTGATTAAATTACTTGCTTTAATAATATAACGAATTAATAATACTTAATTGAGTTCATACAAAGGTATAGGTTACTGTACATACATCATAACATATAACTAATACATTTTATTAAGTGCCGAGGTGTTCCTCTCTCTTGTGTTCAGCTACAATAAGTTTATACTTACTGTATAGTATCATTAGAGATGATTAGGTGAAGGACCTCTGCCACTAAATACCGTCCAGTACTCAGTTGCATTCATTTAAGAGGCTTCTTTTATTCTCAAGACTGGTGGACATCTAAGGCGCCGTTTACACGAGGACAAAACTGCTTGTATCTGCATAGTTTCGCGTGCGTATAGCCCTATTATTTACACGAGGCCGATAGAAACGGACCCCACAAACGATAACGGGTCCCAAGGTGGATAGATTTGCAAACGAAACGCTCTGGGGGGTCAACCGAGTCCGTGTAATCACCTCTATACGAATATTTCCTCTCCCCACCTCTCCTGCTCACTGCTGTAGCATCTGTAACGATCAACTATCAAAAATAGCTGTGTTAATTAAACGCACAAGGGGTTCTTGAATTAAATAATATTATAAAAGGCAAACCAGAATTGTTAACGCCCAATATACTCCTTAAACAAAATAAACAGAGTCAGATTTCATGCATTGATCCATTATATTGACAATTTTCCAGCCAAACAACACAAACAAAATTAAACAGTCCGCTCTGCGATACACCAAAATTGTCTTTACTGCCTAATCCAGGCCATTATTGTTCATTGCTCCTGCGCCCGTCGGCGGCAAAAAGAGAAATGTTTATAATCCACACAAAAAAAGGAAACACGAGGACCGGCGTGTCCCAGAGGAGCGATCTCACCCGGTGTTTGTAGAGAATATCTCTCTTTCTGAGCGCGTCCTCTCCACGGAGACGTGCTTCTTGGTCGGTCAATGCAATATCCACAGATTCGGTTTCTTTCAGTTAACTTCCCCGTTGCATTTATCCATATATTTACATGCTGAGGAAATTACTATATCCCGCTGAATACCAGCAATCGCCACACACACTTCCTCCTGTCAGTAGCTACTGCTAGTGCTACTGCTACTGACCATGCTACAGATATTAGTGCAAAATCTACAGCTCCTCTACCACAACCATCAGCAACAAGTGGACATGGAGAATTACATGAACTACATGTTGCTAAATCCATCGCGGGGCATAAACAGAAGGGTAGCCATGGCAACATTGCTGCGGGGCTGCTACGGAGTCTTCTTCGTTGCTTTTGGTGTATTTTGTGGCGGAAGTTACAGCGCCTCTGACAGTCCCGGCATATGTACTACAGCGTTTCCAGCGGTCTCGTTTGAACAGACACGTTAAATGAAACGAATGCATGTGAGCGGAAGACTTTTTTGAATACGCATACTGTGCATAAACGCAAACGTTCCCGTGTGCACAACGCCTAAGACATCTAAACTTTTTTAATGTTAATCGCATACTGATAACACCTGTGGGTTGTTGAGGTCCTATATGAATCATTAGTTCACATGAGCCTTCAGAGTCACAGGACTTCAGGTGTGGATTGGTAGTGTGGTAGCTGTTAAGTGGTGTGGCAGTCCCCCACTGTGTTCATAGAGGGTTGTTAAAGTTTGACACAGATGGGCTTATTCACTCCTCCTTCAGATGATCTCTCCTGCCCCTCCAAAATCTGTCTTTTGCCAAACTCACATGGGTGTCACTGCATTTGAACTGCATACTGTATTTGTTGTTTCTTGTGTAACCGGTGCCTATAAGCGGTGTCTGCGTTGTGGTGCAGTGGGTTGTGTGTTGGTTTTCGGATCAGGTGGTCACAGGTTCAAACCCCACTGCAGTCAGCATGTCGTTGTGTCCCTGGGCAAGACACTTCACCCCAAATTGCTCCTGTGGTGATTGTCCACAGTATTGAGTATGTAAGTCGCTTTGGATAAAAGCGTCTAACAAGTAACATGTAATGTAATGTGTTGATGTTGTTGATGGATGAGACCCAAGCCAGCATACAGTCGAGGCGATCTCCGTTTATTCACTGACAATATACAACAAATCAGTATTACATTTGCTATCCCTCACACTGACTCCTCTCACGTAGAACATTTACAAAAAGGGAAGAGGAAACGTGAGGGGACACAATATGAAGGGGGTTGTCCCCACAAAAAGAAAATCTCCTGAGTACATTGACTAAATTCTGGAGGTTCCGCCCACTGATTCTATACCTAGTCAGGTATTGAACGTTTAATAAATAAAGAACACAGAATTATTAAATACAAAACACAGAATTTGTGTGATTATACTAAATGATAAAGAAATATTTAACACTAAACACCACTGCATATTTTAGTGGGAATGCTGATACAGCATTCCAACTATCTGTTATGCTACGCACGAAATTCTTTATTATTCCGCCGGGTTATTTTGCACCTCTTCTTCTCCCACATTCCACATCGCAGAAACTCAGTTCAAACATCAAAACGTTCAGCTCGGTCGGGAATCGATGGCTATTACCTTTCTTATTCATAACTTTCATAATTCCAGAGATACATCCCATAATTCATCAAATTTCTAACATGGAAGTCAATTGAGAAACTCTTCAGACTTGAACAATCTTCATGCAACTTCAACTGCTAACTGCTCCTTCATACTTTCACTCAGAAACCTCATTCCAACTTTAAAATGTTGCACATCTTTCTGACATTATTCGTGTAACACAACTTTTAAATCTGATTCGTACTTTTAGAGATATTAAACATTGTTCAGACCTTGGTTAAGAGGCCTTCTTCAGATTTTAGAGTGTGTGATGTCACAGCTAGAGTGGAGGACAGATTTAATTTTGCCTTCATATTTTCTTTTAAACCTGCCATAATTCCCAAACCCTACATGCCTGAGACATCATTTTTCATGAGAAACGTAGGAAAACATCTCGTAGTTTGAAAAATAAAAAAGAATTAAGCAAAAGAATTAAACAAAATGCCTCTTGAGGGCATGAAGTGACAACAACTTTCAACATGTCTCCATTAAACCCCATTGTAAGTTCAGCCTCATCTTTCCCCACCACAGCAGCCGCACGACTGTAGTTAATCTGCCAAAAAGGCCACATTAATAACCCGAAAGTACACAAAAAGTACACTTCAGATGCTCAAGTTCCTTGACATGCTTCACGCTTTGAAATTTCACCGATATCTGTTACGGTTCTTCAACAAAACGTTCACATGTAAGAGGTTTATCTCTCATTCAGAACAATGAAAATGCTCTCCTCTCACTGATTACTGCACATCACCATGGAAACCTTTGATCTCTGGACACGTCGTTAGCTCAAATATAAACACCTGTGTCATGGAACACGATGATGTCATAACTCCAACTGACATGCTCAGAGCAGCAGACTTCAGATAATGGTTAATGGTCCTGCCCTCAACAGCTCTACGTCAATTATGGGGTGTCATCATATGCCGTTTCCATGGAAACGCATCCCTCGCCATAAAACACGATGTCGCTGTAACTCCAATGGACATGGTCCGATCGTCCCCCAAACTTCGCTTGTATATCACCGGTCCATGCCTCAACAGCTTTACGCCAAATCTGAGGTCTCACCATAGGCTGTTGCCATGGAAACGCATCCCTCGCCATAAAACACGATGGCTCCAATGGACACGGTCCGGTCGTCCCACGATCTTCACCTGTATATCACCTCTCCATGCCTCAAGAGCTCTACGTCAAATCTGACATCTCACCATATGCCGTTTCCTTGGAAACGCATCCCTCGCCATAAAACACGATGTTGTCGTAACGCCTATGAAAAGGGTAAAAACAGCACCAGACTTCAGATAATGGTTAACGGTCCAGCCCTCAACAGCTCTACGTCAATTATGGGGTGTTATCATATGCCGTTTCCATGGAAACGCATCCCTCGCCATAAAAGACGATGTCGCTATAACTCCTATGAAAATGTTCAAAAATTGCTCAAACTTCACATGTGTGCTAACAGTCCAGCCTTGAAGACATCTACGGGACAGTTTTGAGATTTCTTCAATTGCCGTTGCCATGGCAACACAATGCTCACCATGAAACACGGTTTTCTCATAACTTCAGTGAAAATGCTCCAAACGGCCCAAAACTTCACAGGTTTGGTAACGATGCAGCCATCAACGCATCTAAGCGTATTATGGGATGTCATCAAATGCCGTTGGCATGGCGACAGATCATTCGCCATCAAGTTAGTTCAAAAGTTTGCAGTTCAAATATTCTGCTGCTTTTCCAAGCCTTTTTACTTTATTTTCTTCTCTCATCACACATTCAAGCCCCCAGTGTTCATGTATCATTTCAATCTAAATTCTTCACTTTCTTCTTACACATTACATTTCAGCATAGCAGTTTAGCATCAGCTTTTCAGCATAAAGCATTCCCACTAGCAATTTATTCAGGAATTGCATTCTCTAGTTACAACTGTTACACTTGTAAACGTTTCTTAACAAAATGTATTCTGTTTACAAGATCCACTCACTTTTACCATCTCTTTGTCTCTAGGGTCGTTTCCTCCAGCTGTCCTTTACGCCCGTAAAGACCGACTCCAACGGTCTGCACACATAGCCACTAAGACTTTCCAGGCTCTGCGTATCTTTGTGAATGATGAGCTGAACGAACTTCACGCAGGACTGAGTGCTGCCCGGTCGGTACTGGCACCTGGAGGACGTCTCTGCGTGATCACTTTTCACTCACTAGAAGACAGACTGGTTAAACGTTACCTCCAGGGAGAAGACTTGTCCAATCTAGATCACTTCAGCCCGAGGAAGCAAGGCAGTGGGAAGCAAAAACTGGTAGATGTAAACAGAGAAAGTGGAGAGGTTTACTGGCTTCCTCTGCGGAGAAAAGTCATTACCCCAGAAAGGGACAATGTAAATGAGAATCCTCGAGGACGCTCTGCCAAACTTAGGGCAGCACTCAGACGTTAACAATTTTTTTTAAATATGAGGGAATTGAAATTCTTTCTCTTTTCATCACATTTTTAAGCTTTTATACAGATAGAGATTTTGTTTTAACAATTGACACGTAAGGAGGTTAAGCAAAGGGTGCAAATGCAACTATATCTGTCTGCTGCCTTCTTTTTGTCTTGACTGCACATTTTGGATTTTTTCTGTTTCAACTATCACAATTAAAGTGGTGGAAAGCCATTGAGGGTTGTATGCCATCACCAACAATTGTTGGTTAAGGCCCTGCATAGTGATGGATGAACTGTGGATAAGAGAGAGAATGATTCTGACATACAATATGACCCGGGGTTTGAGCCCAGATTTTTATTTTATATTGGCAGGTGAAAGAAATAATTGGTGGGACCATGTGTCTATAGAGGTGAGCAGTGACAAAAACGTGTGTGCTTAGTAAACTGGACTTTCCAAATTGGGGTAGGTGGTTTCACTTTCATCTCACTGTCTTCAATAAGTGCTTGGAGCTGGTTAAGGTGTCATCTGGAAACTTTGGTCATGTACAGTAATATAGCATTGTTCCACATTTAGCTCACACAACGACACCAATCCATTCACTCTATGAATACTGTAACATGTGATTGAGAGCTGTGAAAGCTAATAAATTGACCTTTGATCTAAGATTAATTAAGGTCAAGAAGTGAACTTCCAATAATAAAATAAATGAAGATAGATTATTAATTAGAAGGGATGATAATGTCTACAGTTTAATATAATATAAAGTATGTACTTAAAGTTTTGCTTCGAGAAGAAAAAACTTTAGGTTGCCACTTCCAAACTCCAATTGCGCTGGTCCATCTTTCTCTCACCTTCCTTTAGCTCGAAACTCGACTGAAAACCACACATTGTGTGAAAGCTGGTTAAAAATTGATGTTAACAGTTTTTTTTACCAGAGTGAAAGTATTTAATCTTTTTGTTTGCCTTTTGATGATGCGGGGTAAAATGTCCAACATTTTATAATACATAAAATGTTGGACATTTTACCCCGCATCATTGCAACACTATGGTTTGATCCTCACTGTTAGGATCCTGTATGAATTAAAGCTTTCTGTTTGCCATTTAAATAAATAAACTTTTCTTGGATTGCTGACAGAGTATAAGGCGTTTATTGCAGCTATATATCTCAACATATAAAAAAAGAAACACCTTTTCTCATTGACGTCTGTATTTTCCCTGAACCTCCCTTGATGATTCGCTCAAGTGAAACCTCTACTGTACCGTATGAATCAGTAATGCCACTAAATACTGAATGACGCAAGTGTCAGAAGTGGTGCTGAATGAGCTGGTTGGTTGTTTCTGAGCATTCTCTCACCTTCATTCGTAAGCAGATAAGGTGTTTTGATCTTTACTATTTGACTTTGACTAATTGTAATTGCTCCATCAAGATTATTAACACTTTTTTTTTCTTTCTCAGTTTAGTGCACTCTAAATATACCCTTTTCGTTACCTTGGAAACTAAATGGCGTAAGTAACATTTAACTGTGTCTAAAATGATATGCTGTTTATTTTTTATTATTAAATAATGCCATATCGTGAGTTTGTTAACCCTCCCTTTTGACATAAGTTAACATGTCATGACATTTTATCTTTTGGCTGCTTTGCTCCCATTTTATTTCCTTAATATATTTACTGAATCACACTGTTTACCATTCATGGTAAGAAAATGTTACTCACGATTTCATCTCATACTGATGCGTAAAAGTGTTCATATAAATAGAAAAGAATAAAGAAAAGGGGGAGAGATTTCAACTTTTTTAAGTGTTCAAAGGTTCATCCTCAGTAAGTGGTCTTTTGTACTGCCACCATTTTCCCTGCTGTGCAAGAAGTCCTGTTGTCATGTTGATGTGTGGGTGGGTGGGTGCTTGTTTTTTAATACAATCTTCTGAACAGTAACTCAGCATCTACACATTATAGAGACGTAGTATTCACCCCACGTACTTCACTAAAAGCAAGGTTGTCTCAATGTCTGATTTTGTAGAAATATGTTATACTTCATGTGGTTAGTTATTAACTCATGATGTTTAAGGATGACAGTCTCTTGTATTTAAGGGGGATCTATTTGCATACAATTAATACAATACTAATTACTATGTTTTCATTAGTGTATCATCAGTCCACCATTTTGCACCGTGATGTTTCCACGGTAATTCAGAGTGGACAAACCACGCTCTGTCTCTACAGCCTTTACTGAAGGCCACCTTAGTTCTCTTACTCTAACTTCACTGCTCCTCAAGTTGTGTAAAGGATGGTCACCCAGTGAGGGGAAGGTTCAGGCTTTAGCACTTAGCAGTCACCCAGGGTTAGGGTTAGGGTTAAGGAAATCGCCATGTTGAATTTTAATTAGTGATGTAATTTTAATAAAATGTTTTAACATTAACAACTGATGTTTGTTGCTCGATGCAGGAGATGATAAGACGGGAACATCAGTAATATAAATTACTGTTATCTACCACTGCAAATTCTCAATCGCCATGGAAACAGTTACCTCAGATAACAGTAAATATGCTGTAAGACGAAGCTATTATTGTAGACTTGGATCAATCCATAAATTGACTACCAGGTGCGTAACTAATAGCTACTGTTGTTGAATCACGTCTCTGAAGCTGCAGGCAGACACTCTCAACATAATCTAACCTGCTGCTAACAAACATGAAGACAGGATTAATGTCTTCACTTGATACCTACAATTATCAATTTCAACAAAAGAGCACACAGCAATGGTGTTTTTATTTTGGTTTTAAAGATTTGCACTGCACATTGGTTGGTAGGTTTGCTTTTCCACAGGCTGAGGAGCACAGAGGTACGATAAATGAATCTAGATAGTGTGAGCTCAGTACGTCAGCACAGGATGTTTGATTCAAGCCTCAATCTTTCACAGTCTCACTATAACCCGAAAAATGACACTAAAGGATTATGAATCAGGAGTGGCCCACTAGTGGTTCACAAATTGCACCTCACTGCCTACATGTGTGGCTCATACTCACATCTCTTTTTTAATTTGAATAATTTTATATCATATGTGCTTATCTCTTGTCTCAACATTTGTTAGAGCCAATCTCTAATTTAGGTGGCACACCTTAAACTGCACAGGGCCAGATAACTTGTAATGAGGCAAAGTTAGTGACTTCCATGACTTGAATCACTTTGTCATCACAGCAGGGACAGTTAAGTGTAAAGCTAACATGTTACAAACTGAAAATGTAAAAAAAAAATCCAGAGTAAGGATTTACATTTTTAAGAACTTACATACTGTTGAATGAGTTGAGGGCAACTGAAGTGTCGCCATAATACAAGCCAGATTTGAAAAGGATTGTGGGAAACATGAAATGCCATTAGTCCCACTGAGTTGAAACTTGTAAAAGGCAAGAAAAACCAATGAAAATAAAATGTTGACATTGAACATTATTTGATTGTTTGCTGAGTCTGTTAGCTTGTACAACATTTATTTTTGTTCTGTGAATAATACAGTGACGGCCCTATATGTTAGATAACCAGATAATTATTAGGAGACCAACTACCAAACTTTTTTTCTCCTTCTTTTATAGGAAAGCAAAACATAACACCCAACAAAATAAATAATGTCATTTATCAATGTCTCCGCCACATACAGAAAAAAACCTTCTGCTTTTACAGACAGAAAGAGTCTGTTTGGCTGCCCACCAACAGAATAAATGGTCAGTTAAGGACTGATGTGTTGAGTTATAACAGTGGATTTCAGGCAGCCAACAACAATCTCACTGTTTCCCTAGTTTTCAATGTACAACCTTAGTTAAAGGAGGCCACACAGGTGATGACAAAGGTTTAAGAACATATGAATACTATTTGACTGAATACCTGTCGATCAATTCTGGCCATTTAAGATTTTGTTTAAAAAACGCAACAATCTCTGATCCCATCTTCTCACATGAGACAACTTGTTGCTTAACTTTGAACAAACAACACATTTGAGATATGTTTGGGTCATTTCTTAACTGCTTTTTGACATCTCATAGACTTAACCACTATTGATTGATACAAATAAGTTGCAGGTTAGTCAATTGTGAAAAGAAACTTCAGTTGCAGAGGTGATTCTGCTGTTAGATGACTTTTAGAGGATACCATGAAACTTCAACTACAACTAGGATTTGTACATGTAATGCTCTGTGGTTTCATCATATTCTGTTCATGTTGGCTGTACATTTTGTTTTTACTTTGAAGATTGAAATGGAAAAATCGAGATGTGAAACTTATACCACTCCGGGTTTGTAAAAAAACTGTGAACAGGCAATGGTTATTGATGGTCCAGCTCATGTGTATTTATAAGTTTGAAGAGCAACAGCTCTAGTAAAAAAAAACTAACGAGAACCAGACACAAATATGACAACAGTAAAAAAGAAGAGAAATAAACTTAACACTAAAGTACCAAGCAAGATGAATGACAATGCAGTACCTCTGGTTATTCATCTACCTCTGACTGCTGTTTTTTGTTATGTCTTCATTTCTGGCAGAGAGAAGAGAGACAAGCGTCAGCCTGTGGCTCCCCCTCTGACAGGCTGAAGAATGTTTTAGTTTTTGAGCCGAGAAAGAAAGCTCATTCCATCCACATCTTTACTCCCCTCCCTCCAACTCTCTGACTCCCCGCCCATCTCTGCTGCTCCGCCTGCTATAAAAAGACTTCTTAGAGAAAAACACTGAGGTCAAAGCTATTTGAATAATTTTTGTGATTGACGCAGGGGCCTGCCGGTCTCATGGGAAGAAGATCCAACTGTGAAAGAAGACAGCCATGTTGGATAATACTGCGATACTGCGATACTGCACAGCCAGGGGCGAATCCTGCATTTTGCTGACTTTCAATTTGTAACTTAGTTTAAGGGATTCAAATATGACATTGAAAATGTTAATCACAAGTCCTACCCTCTTAACAGTTTACCCAAATCCATCACCTCCAAGCTGCCGTGATGAGTAGTGGTTAGTGCATCCTGGAGCTGATGGCAGCCTCTTGGTTATGCCTGAGCCGTCATCAGAGCACCTCTTGCTGTGTCAGGCGGTGAACAGGGTGACCTGATGTCATCTCTGTTACTCCAGTGTCTCCAACTGAAGGAGACACAACACTGGCTTCCTTTCCTGCTATAACAGCCAATTGCATTTTTGCACCTGTTTATTTCTGTCTGGCTGTATAACAAACCCTGCCACAGCCAAGAGGGAGTCCCGTAGAAGAAAAGGTCTATTTCACTCCTCACATCTTAGATGGTAAAATCTAAATGGTAAAACCTTATTGTTAGTTCAAGAAGCTGAGAACAAGGTGGACATTACAATGCAATAAGCACAGTTTTTTATAGGGTTATCAGCGGTGTTGGTTTGGATAATTTAAAACTGGTATTAACATGTGATCAGTATCTGGATATGTAAGCTCTATAGTCTTAAAAAAAAAGACAATTTAATAAATGGTTCCACCCAATATATGGAATATAATACATACTCCAGATGACATCATTCAAAAAACAGCTCTATTTTAACCTCAAACCAGTGGAGCAACATTACAGAGAAAGATTTTGTTTTTAAAAGGAGTTGTCTGGTATAAGGCAGGAATACGTCTGTATCCATTGCACATTGGTACATTTTGTCTACACAAACTTGCTCTGCATTATTCCAATGTTTTTTTAATTGACTACTTGACTTTAATTATTAAGGATAAGAAACCTTTGCCTAAAGTCACATGACTCTCCCTTTGCAGATCTAGCAGACCTAAGAGAGTAACCCACATCCTTTACTGTAACTTGACGTGTATGCGTCATGTACAGTATGTTGAGACTGCCAGCTCTGCATTGCTTTTGTGTTTGCATAATTACAATACATGGAGGAAACGTAAATTAATATTGATTCCAGGTGTTAAATGCAAATGAGAGATTTTGTTTTATAGATAATTTGTTCCGACAAAGCCTAAATGTTTTAAAGTCTACATCCCTGACTGCAGAATAAGTCATTGAAAAACTGTGTGACATGTTGTACAGTTAAATAAGTTCATGTTTTTTTCATCAAAGTGTGGTAATGTGATTAACCATCACAGAAAAATAGAGACCAGGTTAAAGACTTGAATCTATA